ATGCTTTCCCCCCCTGAACCATTTGGATGTTGCTGACATAATCACTCTCAACACTTCAAGCATCTAAAAATAATGACATTTTCCTAAAAAACTATAATGCTCCTATAAAATTGGTAATTCCCTAATGTCATCTAATCATGCATATTTAGATTTCCCCAGTTGTCCTCCAAATTTTGTACACAGCTCATTATTTCAAACCAGGATTCAGTGAAAGTTTACACATTGCATTTGGTTATGTCTCCTTAGTCAGATATGACATTATTATTTCAGTAAAATATGGAACAGATCAGTTAGTTCTAAATAGTCACATATGTTTTGGATTTTAATCACTTCTTAAAAAGTAGCATTATGGGAACTACCTAAAGATGCTTAATTAATCTTTGTAAGATCTCTATATTTTCTTTTCCTTGCTCTTTCCTTTTTCCTAGTAGCATTCTGTAGTAGTTGTAAATGAAAATTTAAAGTCACCTCAGTTAAAATTGGTGTCATGTGTATGCTAATAAAAAATAAAAAATACTATATCACCCATAATTGCCTTATACTATTTTAACATCAAGGTATTGATTTTTTTTGGTATCAATCATTTTTCCATTGCAAAAGAGCTATCTTATTTCTCATTTCATACCTTTGTATTATAGGACTGTTTTTGGCAAATACAGTGAGCACCTATGTAACCAGGCAGTAATGTACTCAAGTGTCTTAATAGCTTGCATAGTTAACTGTAGTTGTAGATTTGGTTCCAGCACCCCTAGAAACATGCACTGAATTCAAAAGAAAAATCTTGCTTCTTTTTGTCCAGGGCTTGTCTATTCAACTTAGAATCTGAAAACTGTATAAAATAATAGGAATTCAACTTAAATAAGTTCAAAACTGTATTTATAACTTGTATGTGGCCCTGTGTTTTGGGGATATTGATTTAATGTAGGGTCTATAAATGCAGCATTATGTTTCTGATGTTAAGAACAGAAGACTGTATTTTTAAAGTTACAGATTTGTATATAGAACTAAGACATCTTCATAATGTCTCTATAAGCTGTTGTGGGGGGTGGGGAGAACAAAAGGAGGAACCAATTAAATAGGACCTTCTAAAAATTGTTAATTTTGTAAACTTTGCTTCTTATTAAGTTATTGTGATTCCTTTTAGTTACTGAATTTTATTTTGAAGATATTTAAATATTGCACTTGTACAAATAGTATGATAAATGCACAGATTATTGCAGTAAATTCTTTTTTAAGCTGGGATATTTGAAATGACAACTTTTGGTTGAATATGTCAAGGTTGCATCAGAATTTTCAAAAAAATTTGTCGTTTGCAAATTCTTACTAACTGAAGATATAGGGAGTCAATGCAAATGATTTTTAATCTTTTTTTATTATCTTTTCAGCAATTTATATTTTTTGTGATTTTATGCAGCCATATTTTTACTTTGTCTTGACAACTGAAAGATGTATAAGGTTTTTGCCAGAAATGTACTGTATACATAGTTTTAAATATAACAGATTTTACTGATATGTAAAAATTTTGCCATTAAATGATTTCTCACCGAGAGGAACTTTTCTACCAGGTTGGGGGGATATGGGAGCTTAATATATCTAATTTAATTTCACTGAAATAAACTCCATTGCTTTTACTTTGGTTATATTTTCTCTTGAGACGCTTTTGTAGTTTTTCAGTTTTAAATGATTTTATACTTAAAAAGTCCTGTGCTCTCACTCTCCACCCCCCCCCCCACCGCCCCCCGCTTTTTGACCTTGCAGCGCTACCACTCACACTGAATGAATGCTTGGTGGACTATGGCTGGATGGCGAGCTCTGGGCATCTCTGCTCCGCCTGGCACCCTCCGAATGAAAGACACACATGTGTTGTTTAAATCTTTCCCCCTAACTCTTGTTCATCTTCTCCACGCACAGCAGAAATCTCATTTTCATTGTGAATTCTCCTGACAAGATGATTGAAGTTCCACATAGAACATAACCATCAATTGGTAATAGGGTGAAATCAATCTTTGTAGTACAGTATCTCCGAGATGTGTTCATGTATGTTTTGACTGGGGTATATTTAAGCATATAATTTAAAATACTTTGATTTAGAAAACTGATGATAAAAACATTTTTCATGTTACATTGTGCTTAAATTTTTTAACTTATGGGAAAGCTAAAAAAAAAACACTTGTTCATAGCTGACCACCTGTGCACCTTTTTGACAATGTGTCTAAATATAAAATGTCATGCTTAGACACACCTTAGCACTCAAACATTGTGATTTTTGTTTCAACTAAATTACTGATCTTTGATTTCATCTAAAAACTAACCACCTGAACAATATATTAAATACAATAAAAGCCAAAGTGGTTACCAGTTTTCCTTATTAACATTGGATTTGGTTAGAATTCCACTACTGTTAGAATTCAACTATGATGAACTCTTATATCCCATATGGCATCGTTAGGGCTTGATTGGGCTAGATTGTTGGCATTCTAAATCTTTAAAATAGTTTGACAATTGTAACAAAACAGTACTAAAGAATGTTATGAACAGCACATAAGATTGTTCTTTAGTGAATTTATAAATTGCTACAGATATTTATTTACCCTGACTGTATAAAATTGTACAATAAATTCTCTTGTTTGAAAAATCAGTATTTATTGAACTGTTCTATTGTAGACAAATAGACTGTTCTATTTATTGTGAATGCCAGTAAACGTTAACTATGATAAACTTAAGAGGGTTTCTAGCAACTTGGAAGATGATCATATTGTCTCTAAACAGCATGAGAAATGTATTAAATATATTAATAGGTACCTCAAGTTCATAGGCTAAAGTAAGTGGTGGGTGAAGTGTGAAAACTCGGGTTTGGAGGTAGATTTTACCAGAGGAAAATTATTTGAGAGTTTTAGGAAAGACCCCTAGAAAGGGGTACAGCTTCAAGCACCACTTATTCACTCTGCAACCTGTATCCCCTCATAGCTACTATGAACCAAGCACTAAGAATGTGACCATAAGGCATAAATCCTGCCCTGAGTGTCTTGTCAGGGAGATACATGTTTTTTTAAAGGCTTATAGAAGTATATAACATAGAAAAGTGCACAAATCCTAAATATTTGGCTTGATGAATTTTCAGTGTTTTAGGTTTGCAGTGAACATGGCCGTGTCAGCTTCTCCCCATATTAAGAAACATGCCACTGCCTTTGTGTCTTTTATAATTAATATCAGAAGTTATATACTTCTATATGATACATTTTTTTTTTTTAAGATTTTATTTATTTGAGAGAGAGAGCACATGAGAGGGGGGAGGGTCGGGAGGGTCAGAGGAAGAAGCAGACTCCCTGCCGAGCAGGGAGCCCGATGCGCCACTCGATCCAGGGACTCCAGGATCATGACCTGAGCCGAAGGCAGTCGCTCAACCAACTGAGCCACCCAGGCGCCCTATATGATACATTTCTATATGACAGTATATTATTGGCAACACCGTAAATTGTTTTTCTTGAAATTAACAGACTCCATTTGTTTTTTTCATGGTAAGACGCGTCACAAACCCAAGCCTGAATAACCAGAGGGACTGCTTGTGCTGTTTTTCTCAATAAGAGTTGTATTCCACAAAAAAGTATCTACTTTAGTTTATAATGCAATCTCACAAGTGCTTTTACTTGAGACCTCATACTCCAATATACAGGAGAAGTACTTTATGAGTATTAAGGGTCATTTTAATAAAATAAGTTTTACTGCTTCATGAAGGACATTCTTGAGTGTATTATGTATGTATGTATGTATGTATGTATGTATGTATGTATGTACTATGAGTGTGGTGCAGAATACAAGGACAACTAGCAGAGTGTGGTATCACTGCCTTGATTCCAGCTGAGCTGCCATCAGTCTTACCCACAACTGCTTTCCCATTATCAGTGCAATGTCAACATTGTGAAAAAGGCAAATGATGTCTTCCTGTGACTCGAAAATAGTTTGAAAAGGCCTTGGCAACCCTCAGGGATCTGAGGATCACCTTGGAGCATCATTGTTCCACAACAGCGGTTCTCAGTGGTGCAGGGGTCGGGAACGATTTTTCTTCCAGGGACATTTGGCAATGACTGGAGACAATTTTGGTTGTCACAACTGGTGGTAGTGGTGTGGGAGTGGATGCTAATGGCATCTAGGGGGTAGATTCCAGGGATGCTGCTGAATATCCTACCCCGCACAGAAAAGCCTCCCTTTCCCCAACAAAGATGATACGGTTTGAAATATAATGCTGAGGTTGAGAAAGCCTGGTCTACAAAAATGATCTTTGCACAAGATAGCTATATCAATAAATTAACAATCTTAATTTTTCAATTTCCTAAACAGTTCTCTGTGTTACATTGCCCCACTTAATTATTTTCAAGACATAAACCACAGCTACTTTCAAGTTATAATTCTTTTGGGCCCAACTTACTTGTTTTTTTCCAACGTGAAGCCTACAGTTGAACCACGGGCCCCCCGATCTGCTCCCCTGGTCCCCTTTCCCATGGACTTTTTCTTCTGTCCTTTGTGTCTGGCCGGTCTCTTTGCTAGGCTGTAAAGTCCTTTAGGGCAGGGTCCTATCGTAATGCCATGAACTACCCCCAAATCCCCCAGCCTCATCTGTTTCACCCGCCGACCGAAAGGGGCGTGCAGTCTGGCCCGGGCTGCCTCTCTCTGCGCGCACCTCAACGTGCGCAGCCGTAGTTTCCCGCGCTCACGCACTGCGGTCACCCGTGCGCCAGATGCTCCCGGCTGCTACTAGAGGGCGCTCCGGCCCCGGGTGGCTCAAACTACAAATCCCAGAGGGTAATGGGGTGGGGACGGCCGCAGTGACTTCTGGGATTTGTGGTCCCGAGAAAGGGATTGGCAACCACAAGGGCTCTGAGAGTCGCCTCTTCCCTGCCCTTCTCTCTGCATGGTTCCGACGGCCCGGGTCGGCCAGGCCAATTTCTTGGGAGACCTGGCACCAAAGGCAGGCTGGTAGGCTGTCGGGCATGTTAGTTTCCGTTTCCGGTGGGAAAAGGGCAAGCACAATGTAAACACGGGACCAGGGGAGTGGTCATCAGGTAACTGGGGTTTACGCTGACCGTGGTGGAAGCCGGAGGAAGTGGAGGAAAATAAGGCTGGTGGGTCTTGTGATTACGGGAGAAAGGACCTTCAGACGTCGGAGGTGACACCCAACAGGGGTGTGGCAGAGCCGGGACACTAAGGTTGGTCTCTAGAGAGGAGCAGTTCTAGGGGGTCGGGCCCTCCGTTACGCCTGCGTCAGGAGCGGCTTCCGCGTTTCCACGGCGGCCAGTGCGGCTTTGACCTTCCCTTAGCGGTGGGAGGAGCGGCACCGAGCTTGCTTCACACCCCGCGATGGGGGTGTCTGCAGTTGAGGACGGCCTGGTGAACTCGCGGGTGACGTCCAGTGCAGCCTTTATGAACTTCGCACGGGGAACTTGCTAATACAGATTTCTCTCTTGCGGGGACATTTTTGGGTAAATTGCTTCTTGAATTTCTTACCTCTGAGTACATCCCGGTACCCGAAGGATGCTGTTTCGATTTCCTAATGGTGTTCATCTGGTGGTTTCTCACCTTGGGTGCTGCATCCTCCGATGCAGTGAGGACAGGCATTCTCGGCTTGTGGCTGGGTGAACTGTCCAGCCTTCCACAGTAATTGAATGCATACTGTAAGGATCATTGTACCAGCAGAAGAATTTAGAACACAGCTTTGTTGTTTAGAGTTTTCATGGTGTTCATTAACTATAAGTCTGTATAAATTGAATTTGTGTTGTTTCATGAGTTTAACGTGAAACCTATATGATTATGATTTACCCATATGACTTCTTACCCAGGGGAAAACACCTAAAGGCTAGGATGTTGGCGCCTTGTGCATCTAATTATAGATTGAGGAAAGCCTTATTTATAAAAAGTCAGATAACCTTAGAGGAACAATAAACTAGTACTAATTAAGATACTTGAATCAACTCTGAGTGTTAAGTTTTTCAGGCTAGAAACTGTTTTGCATATATCCTAGGACTCACCCTCCTTTGAAGGCTGGCTAACTTTTACTTTTCAAGATTTATCAGGCTCCCCTCCAAGAAGCCTCAAGTGTCTCCACTGAAGTCATAGTATCCTTTGTTTACTCTCTAATAGCACTTATTCTGGAGTGTATTGACTATGCTCTTGTGATCTCCAGACAGTTTTGAAGAAAATACAAAGCTGTGCTAATGGCCTTGGTCACAGATTCATGCTTTTTAACCTGGTAAAAAGGTTGATACTGTTTTCAATCTTTATTCATCCCTTATTGTTGCTTTTCCTATTTTCCCATTCTCTATAATGACTATTTTGGAACTTTTCTATTCTTCTCAAGTACTGAAATCTATTTTTCCCTTTACTTGGAGCAGATGACTAGCTGCCTATTTCTTTGGGAAATGTGAAGCTTAGGGGTAGGAAATCCTTCATTGTCTTTTCCACCTATCCCTGAACTTGCCTGTACTTTTCACTCAGTATTAACTCTTGTCTGAGAGGAATGTATTCTTGCGCTCTTCAAGGCTAAACTTGTCAATTACTAGTGGACATTAGGCCTTTTATATCCCTGTAATGTCATTCTCTCCTCACATCCACAGCCTCTGATCTCTAGAAGAGCTTAATGGATTTGTGGAGGAAGATGGCAGAAACACCTGAGGCACTGTTGTGTGTGACTTTTTCATACATGGTAGAGAACCACCATCTGGGGTCTTTGACATTTAGAACAATGGTTTGGGTTGGAGGATGGGGGAGGGTAATGGGAGTCTGATTACCTATTAATTTTTTTTAAAAATATATGTGGGTCTCTGTTCCTTTTTCCTTTCCTCTCCACCTTAACCGCTGCTCCCAATAATATAGACCTGACCAATGATTTCTAATGTAATTTGCCTTTAGTAAATACACCAGGTTTTCATCTGTTAACAGGGTTCCCATACTACCTGGTTCCTCACATTGCTGATTTAGAAACAAAGTTCCATTTGGAAACTTGAAGCCAGAAAATGTAATCATCCTCCTTCTTGTCATAGGGACAGTCATAAACACAAGAGTTCTTATCTAGATATCCTGATATCTTATGAGACCTTCCTAATGATTTATTCTCTTACATTGTCTTCTCTCTGTGCCTCTGGCCTTGTGTTCCATAGTAATCACACTTCATTTTGAGCCATTTCTTGGTTCTTCCCCTAAGTTACTTACAGTCCCCTTCAAACATAGGAAACTCATTCTTCTATATTATAACAGGTCTGGGGAGAGAGTTTGGCATTGTCCTAATTCCCTAGTATAGCTTATAATACATTACTCCCCTGGGCTTCTTGAACAATCCCTGTTCCAGTGGAGAGCATGTGGTTCACCCGAATCTGCCTGTGCGTTTCTTGATTGCTACAATTTATTGAAACTTCCTTGAATTCATTAGGAATGTAGGCACATGACCTGTAATTTTCTTACCCCTCCAAGTTCTTTTTTTTTAAGATTTTATTTATTTATTTGACAGAATGAGAGAGGGAACACAAGCAGGGGGAGTGGGAGACCTACTGAGCAGGGAGCCTGATGTGGGACTTGATCCCGGGACCCAAGCATCATGACCTGAGCCGAAGGCAGACGCTTAACGACTGAGCCACCCAGGCACCCCACCCCTCCAAGTTCTGCCATTATCTTGGGGCTTTTCATGTGAATAACTTCATAGTCCCTTTTACTTTTTTTGTCCCCTTCCTTCTTTTGATTACTTATATTTTATTTCAGCCATGTACATCAGTAATCTTGGATCCCTCAATAAGTCCCTTCTCTAAATAAATACTTGTTGAATGCTTCTATGTTTTTTTTTAATTTTGTTTCATCAATTGTCCTTTCTTTCTTATCCTTTACATTGTGTATCATTGCTGCTTTACAAAACAGTTTAACATTTGTTATCTTCTAGATTCACCCAGTAGTTCTGTGAATTAAGTTATTTATCAAGTTTGACTCTTTTAAAAACTTCTTTATTGTGGAAAATTTCAAATGTTTACAAGAAAGGAAAGTACAAGAAATCCTGTGTACGTATCAACTAACTTTATCGATTATCAACCAGAGCTATCTTTTCATCTATATTTCTCCTCTGTTGCCCCCCCCACCCCTGGTGATCACTTTGAAACAATTTCTAGATATCATTTAATCTCATATGAAATATTTTAGTATATATTCCTAAAAGATAAGCATTCTTTTAATAAACATAATTATAATGGTATTATCATACCTTAAACAATAGTGATAATTCCTTGATATCATTAAATATCAGTGTTATGATTTTCCCTAATATTTCATAACTATTTCCTCCCCATTGGTGTGTTTGAATCCAGAGCTAAACAAGATGCACACGTTATATTTGGTTAGTATGTCTCTGGAGTCTCTTTTTATCTCCATCTTTTTCTCTTTTTTCCCCTGGAAGGTTATTTCTTGAAGAAACCAGTTTTATTTTTCTTTAGTTTTTGTTATTTGCTGTCTTCATCTCTGACATGTTATCTAGCATGCTCATCTATATCACAGGTTTCTTATAAACTCTAGAGTTTGGTAGGCTTGATCTGATTCAGGAGTAATTTTTGACTTCATATAGGTCAGAAGTTTTTGACCTTCATAGGTACTTCATAGGTGGAATGGCCCTTCCACCAGGAGATACTTACTGTCCAGTTGGCTTTCTTTATGATGTGAGCACCCTTTGTTGGTTATTGCTTTGATCCACTATTTAATTAGGAGTTTAAAAAGTGGTGACAGTCTGATTCTGTTATCCCTTCTTCACCTGTTATTTGGGGAACTTATATAAAAGGCCAACTTTGAATTTTAAAGCTGTTTCTTTGTAATTTCCCAGAATGGCTTCCTTTGGATGGAAGAGGAAAATTGGCGAGAAGGTCTCAAAGGTCACTTCCCAGCAGTTTGAAGCTGAAGCTGCCGATGAGAAGGATGTAGTTGAGAATGAAGAAGGGAACTGGCTTCATGCCATTAAACGTAGGAAAGAAATTCTCTTTGAGGGCTGTGCCGAGAAAAGTAAGCAGCTGAAGGATGAAGGAGCCAGTTTGGCTGAAAATAAAAGGTATGTTTTTAGAGTTTTCTTATAGAGAACAGTTTACATTTCTGTCTGTAATGAGATGAAGAGTTATGAATTCTATAAATTCATGTTTTAAAAATCTGATCTAGGTGCTAAATTAATCAAATAAGTAAGGAGTTTTAAAGACACCTTTAAACAGTCCCATGAAGTCTGAAAGTTTGTAGAAGAGTCTTTAAGATTCTTGGAATGTCTGCTTTGCCATCATTTTTGTTCTGTCTGAAGAAGGGTAAATGCTAAGTAAAATGTAATCCAAGTTCTTGGTTGGTAGGAGATAGTTTAATTTCTGGAAACTTCCTCCTTGTGTTATTATATACCAGACAAATTAGGTGTTTCCTGAAGGGCTTTGAGGGCATGTGCTTTTTTTTTTTTTTTTTTAAAAGGTGTTCAGTTATCCTTTTCCATTGGCTTTTATATACTTCCATAAATATGGTTGGTGCACAGGAATTTGACAACAGTTTCATTTATCCTCAGGCCTTCCTCAGCTAACCTCTTATACTTCTATTCACCCTTTACCCTTTTCTTTTCTTTTCTTTTTTTTTTTAAAGATTTTATTTATTTGTCAGAGAGAGAGAGAGCAAGCACAAG